GAGACAGTGGAGCACAAAGGCTCCGGAGAAGAAGCCGAGTTAGTGACATCCAGAATGCATCCAGAATGGTTAGCAAGATGCAGTAATAGAACACGAGAGAGAGAGAGAGAAGGTGCCTGGTGTATTATAGGGGGTCCTCCGGCAGACTAGGCCTAAGTCAGCCTAACTAGGGGCTGGTACAAGGCAACCCTGAGCCAGCCCTAACTATAAGCTTTATCAAAGAGGAAAGTCTTAAGTCTAGTCTTAAATGTGGAGATGGTGTCTGCCTCCCGGACCGCAACAGGAAGATGATTCCACAGGAGAGGAGCCTGATAGCTGAAGGCTCTGGCTCCTGATCTACTATTGGAGACTAAATCTAAAAATCAAATCTAAATCTAGAAAACATGTTGTCATGGTTTAGGCTAGCTCGCCTCTTTACTTAACCTACTGTAGGTTAAACTGATTTAATAATTTTAACTATTGCTTTTACGTTAACACATTGTTATTTTAAGCATGTGATTTGTATGTCTACTCATTTACATTTTCATTCAGTTTAGGGTAGAGAGGGTGTAAGGGTAGAGAGGGTGTAAGAAGATCACAATTAGCCAAATAGATAGTCTAGCATGTAATTTTAGAATTCAATATGGCTGCGATTTCTGTGCAAGTTTGCAATGAAAAAAAGCTTTACAATGTATAATTACCTCATCCATCGTTTCGCCTCTTCCATCTCATTTGTGTGTGTGAGAATACTGTACTGTTGACAGTCAAAATGCCTCTTCAGTAAGAAAGGGAATAGCAGCTTAGATCTGCAGTCCCCCATGTTTGTTGTGTCAACATTGATCGTCTGGAATGCTTTGAGGTGGGATCTAGTTAACTCCAGGTGGGATATATGCCTGATTTGGCACCTGATTGTCAGCACCTGTGAGCATGGGCCCTGCTACAGTGGTCAGTTGGTGTCTGCTCCAAGAATCAGCATGCCACATTTGACTGATCTGGATAGGGCCCGTGCGACAGGGCAACTTCAAGCTGGTGTTCTGCAAAACCAATCTGCGGCATTATTTGGAGTATCAGAGACTACCTCCACAATTTGGGAGTGGAGAGGATGGAATGGCCTGCCAGCAGTCCTGACCTCAACCCCACTGAACACTTGTGGGATCAGCTTGGGCATGCTGTTCGTGCCAGAGTGACCAACACAACTATGTTGGCTGACTTGGGACAAATGCTGGTTGAAGAATGCAGCAGTGTGTGACCAGGCTGGTGACCAGCATGAGAATGAAGTGCCAGGTTGTTGTGGCAGTGTATGGTTCTTCCACACGCTACTGAAGCTCCTGTTTGTTAAATGAATAAATTGATAAATTGCCAATATGTCTTGTTTCTTTAGACTTCAATCATCCAAACTACCAAACAACACCAAACAAGTATAAACAGCAAAAAAAAAAAAGCTATTTGGCAGGGAAGATTTGGCAAATTTTTATGGGTGCAACCCACATACTCAGCTCTGCTGCTCATCCCACAAATGCATGTTCCTTACAAACGTGGCACCATTTAGGCCAAAAGGGAAATAAACAGGCTTTCAAACGGTATAAGATTTATTGCCTAGAAACATTGTTACAACAAAGAAATAATCTACCAAACACAAATTTCCTTACTCTTTGTGCTTAGTTTAGTTAGTTAGAATATGTGTTTTGCTTTGCCTCCTTTATGAATAATTATATTTTGGGAATTACCCACTGTCTGTTCATTATTGCACAAGAGTGAATGAATAGACAACCTCTGCTATGTCAAGAACTACAAAATCCTTCTGGCTTTACTTTTAATTTTGGTTATGGTCATTAATTTAATTATTTATCAAAATTCCAAATTGATAGTTTAGTGAACTTTATGTGACTGATATCATTAACTGGCTATCATTTTTCCTTTTTCGGGAATGGTGCCCCACGAGGTGATTTAATGTAAATTAAGTCACATTATTTAACATGATTAATAATTATTATTAATAATTATTAATTATTTCAGAGAACCAATTTGATACTTTAATTGGATATCTATTACGAGGTCAGGCCCAAGAAATGGTGCTGCCATGTAAAACATAGCACTAGTGCATGGACGTTTTGGTGTCCCCATGTGACACATAGAATTGTTATAGATTTACAACAAGTATCCCCACTTTTTATAATACCCAGTAGACTCCCAACACCCCCCAGTTTGGCAACCAATGCTATGATGCAACCAATAGCATCTTTTCATTTAACCCTCCCTACCAACTAGGTCACTCCATCCATGACTTGTCTGGATGATACATGATGACTAACCCACACCTGATAGGACATACTGTATACTAGTGTTGTCACGGTATCAAAATTGGGACCCACGGTACGATACCAGTGGAAGTATCACGGTTCTGAGTAGTATCACGATACCACAGCAAAAATGAGGCAGATATGCCTTTTGTCATTTATAAAAAGATAAATCACTTTTCTATAATACATTAATGATATTTCAATGGAATAAATTACTTATTGACTTATTCATACTTCAAAAACAGCATCAATAAGTGATTAACATAGGGGGGATCAAAATAAAATAAATAAATAAAATAAAAATCAACCAGCCAACCTCCTCCCCTGATAAGTTAAGAACAGTCCCTTGATTGCGGTGAGGGTTGTGGATCGTTACCTGCCACAAAGAGAGAAATATGAATGGCTCGTTTCTCCTCTGACACTTCACATACCTGTGTGCTGCCACGGCTTGGCTGTTCAGGTACTACTGGGCAGTCATGACACCAACGAAGAGGAAATTATTGGCCCTGGAGCCGGGCTTCTCGATCCCCGGTAAGCCGTTATCTTGCGCCGCGGAGCACTATGGCCGCCTTATTTGACAGGAATACGGTGGAGGCTCTGTGTTCAACCCACAACTGGCAGGATTCACCTTTTGTTTCTGTTGCTGGTTGAAATCTGTACTCGCACAGCATGCTCCTGAATGATTTCTTTTGCTCGCACAAAACTATTTTTAGTCGCAAATGCGAGTAAAATGCTCGCACCGTAGAGCTCTGTGGAAAACAAATCANAAAAAAAAAAAAGCTATTTGGCAGGGAAGATTTGGCAAATTTTTATGGGTGCAACCCACATACTCAGCTCTGCTGCTCATCCCACAAATGCATGTTCCTTACAAACGTGGCACCATTTAGGCCAAAAGGGAAATAAACAGGCTTTCAAACGGTATAAGATTTATTGCCTAGAAACATTGTTACAACAAAGAAATAATCTACCAAACACAAATTTCCTTACTCTTTGTGCTTAGTTTAGTTAGTTAGAATATGTGTTTTGCTTTGCCTCCTTTATGAATAATTATATTTTGGGAATTACCCACTGTCTGTTCATTATTGCACAAGAGTGAATGAATAGACAACCTCTGCTATGTCAAGAACTACAAAATCCTTCTGGCTTTACTTTTAATTTTGGTTATGGTCATTAATTTAATTATTTATCAAAATTCCAAATTGATAGTTTAGTGAACTTTATGTGACTGATATCATTAACTGGCTATCATTTTTCCTTTTTCGGGAATGGTGCCCCACGAGGTGATTTAATGTAAATTAAGTCACATTATTTAACATGATTAATAATTATTATTAATAATTATTAATTATTTCAGAGAACCAATTTGATACTTTAATTGGATATCTATTACGAGGTCAGGCCCAAGAAATGGTGCTGCCATGTAAAACATAGCACTAGTGCATGGACGTTTTGGTGTCCCCATGTGACACATAGAATTGTTATAGATTTACAACAAGTATCCCCACTTTTTATAATACCCAGTAGACTCCCAACACCCCCCAGTTTGGCAACCAATGCTATGATGCAACCAATAGCATCTTTTCATTTAACCCTCCCTACCAACTAGGTCACTCCATCCATGACTTGTCTGGATGATACATGATGACTAACCCACACCTGATAGGACATACTGTATACTAGTGTTGTCACGGTATCAAAATTGGGACCCACGGTACGATACCAGTGGAAGTATCACGGTTCTGAGTAGTATCACGATACCACAGCAAAAATGAGGCAGATATGCCTTTTGTCATTTATAAAAAGATAAATCACTTTTCTATAATACATTAATGATATTTCAATGGAATAAATTACTTATTGACTTATTCATACTTCAAAAACAGCATCAATAAGTGATTAACATAGGGGGGATCAAAATAAAATAAATAAATAAAATAAAAATCAACCAGCCAACCTCCTCCCCTGATAAGTTAAGAACAGTCCCTTGATTGCGGTGAGGGTTGTGGATCGTTACCTGCCACAAAGAGAGAAATATGAATGGCTCGTTTCTCCTCTGACACTTCACATACCTGTGTGCTGCCACGGCTTGGCTGTTCAGGTACTACTGGGCAGTCATGACACCAACGAAGAGGAAATTATTGGCCCTGGAGCCGGGCTTCTCGATCCCCGGTAAGCCGTTATCTTGCGCCGCGGAGCACTATGGCCGCCTTATTTGACAGGAATACGGTGGAGGCTCTGTGTTCAACCCACAACTGGCAGGATTCACCTTTTGTTTCTGTTGCTGGTTGAAATCTGTACTCGCACAGCATGCTCCTGAATGATTTCTTTTGCTCGCACAAAACTATTTTTAGTCGCAAATGCGAGTAAAATGCTCGCACCGTAGAGCTCTGTGGAAAACAAATCACTGCAGCAAATATAAACAAATCTACCCTACAAGTAAAAATAAATAAATAATAACTTTCACTGCTTAAAGATACTGAATAGCTCTAGGCGCGCTGGCCACCTGGCACTCAATATGCTGCTGCAGTGACATTAGCTATTGGATGGTGCATGGAAGTCCTCTTGCGATTGGACTTTGAACTTATCCCACAGTAGTGGTACTGTGAGGTACCGTTGTACTACGGTACTACGGTACATTATGGTATCATAAGTACCGTGGAGTTTTAGTACCGCAGTCTACCATTGGTACCAGTATACTGTGCAATACTACTGTAGACTCACCGTGTCCACGCCGTCATGGCTGTTAGTGAAGATAATTGGCTCCGGGACTCTGAACTTGATCTCTGAATGGATTTCTTTCAGGTCAGTCACGTTGAGGATTGGCTCCTGGGATAGAGAGCACATGGAAAAGGTTAAAAATGACCTTGTGTACAAAAAGAATTTGAAATGTACTTCATAGGCCTAAAAAATAGACACATACACAAGTATTTTTGAGGGGCATTCATTGTTATACCTTTCTCACAGACAGCAGAGAGATAACAGGAAAAGAGGAAGTGAGAGATGCTATGTTTTTGAACTGGGAATGTTGGGATTAATGATCTGCTTCTTAACTCCCAAATTACAGGGCTCCCCCAAAACACATTACAACAGGCACTTACAAATCAAAAACTTACTCATCAAATAATGTTTTATAAGAGTGAAATAATCATATAAGTAAAATTACATGAGAAACACAAACAAATATAAGCACTCATTTACTACAACTAATGTCCTATTGCTCTGGAAGACTTCCATAACATCAGACCCTGTTTTTGACCGTATTTATGGTGTGCATTTTTTCTACATCATCCATTTAATGTATTTACATTCAGTTGTTCTCCCTATACACAGTGGCATGCAAAAGCTTGGGCACCCATCATCAAAATTCCATTTACTGTAAACGGTTAAGTAAGCAGAAGATTAATTGATCTTCAAAAGGTAAAAAGTTAAAAATGACACATTTATTCAATATTTTAAGCAAGATTGCTTTTAAATTTCAATTGTGTTGCGTTTCAAAATAACAAAAAATGAAAGGGCCTGATGCAGAAGTTTGGGCACCCTGCGTGGTCAGTATTCAGTAGTGCACCCTTTGGTAAGTATCACAGGTTCTTGTATCTTTTAACACTTATTGTATCCAGCTGTGTCTTTCAATTCTTGTTTGGGGGATTTTCACCCATTATTCCTGCAAAAGGCTTGTAGCTCTGTGAGATTCTTGGGCTGTCTTGCATGCACTGCTCTTTTGAGGTCTATTCAGATTTTTAATGATGATGTTGGGGGACTGTGAGGGCCATGGCAAAACCTTCAGCTTGCTCCTCTTGAGGTAGTCCATTGTGGATTTCGAGGTGTGTTTAAGACCATTGTCCTGTTGTAGAAGCCATCCTCTCTTCATTTTCAGCTTTTTTTTTACCGATGCTGTGATGTTTACTTCCAGAATTTGCTGGAATTTAACCGAATCCATTCTTCCCTTTACCTGTGAAAAGTTCCCCCGTGCCACTGGCTGCAGCACAAGCCCAAAGCATGATCGATCCACCCCTGTGTTTAACAGCTGGACAGGTGTTCTTTATATGAAAACCTGCACCCTTTTTTCTCTAAACATGCGTTTCCTCATTGCCTCCAAAAAGTTCTATTCTAACTTCATCAGTCCACAGCACTTGTTTCCAAAAGCATCAGGCTTGTTTAAATGCTTCTTTGCAGACTTCTGATGCTGAATTTTGTGGTGAGGACACAGGGAAGGTTTTCCTCTGCTGACTCTTCCAAGAAGGTCATATCTGTATAGGTGTCACTGCACAGTAGACACACTGCTATCTTCTTTTAGCCTTCTCCTGCTTTGTGGGCATCACTTATTTTAGTTTTCAGAGTTCTAGGCAGCTGTTTAGAGGACCCCATGGCTGCTGATTGCTGGGACAAGGTTGAAGGAGTCAGAATATTTATAAAGCTTTGGAGATCAGTTCACCTTCTACTTACATAACTACTCAAAGTAAACAAAATTTTGATCAGGGGTGCCCACTGCATGCCACTTTAGTAGTTTGCAGTGTTCTTGACAGAGTCCACCATTACCATGCTGGACTCAAACTGCCTGTATACCGATGAGGGATTGACAGGAAAAGATACAGTGTGTGTGTGTGTGTACTCCAGTGTTACGGTTTCTGCTTTGACCTGAGCTGCCAGCCAGTGTTTGCTGTAGTATAATGGTATATTTACACTGAATGCAAAGCAAATTTTCACCTTACATTAAGTTTTACAGCATTTTGCAACTGACCAATAATCACCCAAGAACAGCTGTGCTAACAGTTGTACTAAACTCATAGCTTGTTTGCAATCACATGACTTTTATGACGAGTGAAATTCAGATGGAGGGCCGGAAGTGACAACTCCATATACTGCTTGCACTGGACACAGAGGAAAGTGACTACATTAAAGGGCTGAATGAACCTGCAGGAAGCAGGTATCAACAAAAAATTGAAACTCATGTTGGATGTGATCCACAAAAAGTGATTCACTGTTCCACGGTCATGGAAAACCTGGAAAACGTCATGGAATTTCACAATCACATTTCCCAGGCCTGGAAAAGTAATGGAGTTGGAAAAGTTCATTGTAAAGATTTGGAAAAGTCATGGAATTTGTTGTGTGCAATGAAATTGTTATAGTAATCGTCCAAAAATGACCTTCAACATCATGCCATCAGTCAAAATCCCATGTTTCTATCACCTATGACGTCAACGATGCGCAACCCGTTGTAGTTCGTTGTAGTCCCGTTGAAGTCATGTATAAAACAGCAGGTCATAGATGTATGACGCACATTTCAGTTGGTGAAACGTTACAACATTTTTAATTGGATGTATAGGCAGGGTCCAACATTAACGGTTGCCCGAATGCCCGGGGCAAGTAAAAATAGCCGGCGGGCCAGCAGACCCTGCGCAGACATGCCCGATCGGGCAAGCAGCACCGACTCGGACACACACATACCTGACAGCCTCTCAGTGCTTACCCGCTAACGTTAGCTCATGTACTACACAGGTACCATACAGAAACTTTTACAAAGGGTCATAATGTGCTTCTAGTGAGTGTCAAATCGCCAGTGAAAGTTGTTTTAAATGCGGACATGGAGAACAGCTGCCTGCTCTCATGGGACAAAGATCCTCTGAGAAGAAAGACGGTTCACTCTGCTCTGTCGCCAGGAACAAAGTGGGAGGCAAAGATCCTCTCTGATGAAGAGGGTTCACTTTGCTGCAGGGTTCACCAAAACGTTTGTTTGTTTGTTTTTTCTTTTAATAAATTGAACACACACATTAAAGAACATACAAGATCCTGTAGAGAATTAATACATATAATACAATACAATAAACATTGTCTAATTAAATGAAGGAAGAGGATTTTTTAAAGGCAAATTAAATATTGGGGATTTATGTAAAAATATACATAGAGACATATAAATAATTGTATAATTAAAGATATGTAGGCTATGTTAGGTGAATACTCCTGTCAGTGACCCTGACCACTGGCATTGGCAGAAGAACTGGAGTTGGTCCCTGGATGCTGCACTGTGGCTGCCCACTGCTCCTAGTGTATACAGTAGGATGGGTCAAATGCAGAGGTCAAATGTATGTAATGTGCTGAGAAAGGACAATAAAGAATAACTAGGAGATAACAAAAGAATAAAGAGATTTCAAAGACTTAAAAAATAAGGGACATGAATCAAAACAACAAGAAACTAGATATATCCCCAGTCATGCACACCCACTTTTAATAAACTCAGTACTGTTTTTCAGCACATTTATTGCTTTGTCTTCATTCAATGTAGTTAGCACATATTGTTATTGCGCCATTGGTTTTGGCCTTGGTGCCGCACATTTTGTCCGTGATGCCCCAATAAATTTGTATTTATCAAAGGCCAAAGTGGCCTTGCCCTAAAAATATCTTAACTCCAGGCCTGTAATCGTGTATTTCCTCTCCTGTTTCTGTCCTTGGAGGGGCCAGTTGCAGTGTGCTGCTTTTTTATGTGCTGCTGCCTCCATTGGCTGAGCGTCTCTGCTGATATAAGATATAAGTCATGAGCGAAAATATGCACCACACAGCCAGAAAAAGAACCTCTTAGGCAGGGCAAGAAAGAATTTAGATGGGGCAAGTAGATTTGAGAAGTACTTGCCCGGCAGGGCAAGTAGGAAAAAACCTTAACGTCGGACTCTGATAGGCTACACATTTTTACAGTTGAAGACTGCAATAAACAACTGTTACTCATTTCCAGATAATTTTATATCAAAGCCACGGGGAACCACTGGAGAGGGTCTAAAGAACTGCTTGTAGCTCCGGAGCCGTAGGTTGCCTACCCCTGGAGTACACCATATACGTGCACTTGTTGTTACCACAGGTAACCACAGGTGTTGCCACATCAACTAGAACTGAAATCTGTAGGATTATAACCTTCATGTATTTAAACAGTGAAACAAGCCTTTAGTCAGGCCACTGACCTTGAGAAACTCTAGGAGCTTTTGAGGGAAAAAGCTGGCAACCAGGCAACCAGGTGCTCGGCCTACAGTAGCAAACAAAGAAAATGTTTTATAATTTTAAAAAAAAGCTACCATGAATTAAAAACTGAATCAGGGAGCAGAGAAAATAAAAGAAAGAGAATTAATACAGATTAAAATGCTGGAGGAGATCTTGGCTCTGCTGTAGGCTATCATGTTAGATAGTCACCTCACTGCTGATCTGCTCCCTGAATGTTTCCACCTGTCAACAGATTGACCAGCAGTCAGAAGACCTCTTAAGCCTTGTTTCCACCAAACACGTTTGGTGTAGTACCTTTGGAACCAAAAGTAACCCTTCAGACATATTTATTAAAAATTCCCCAACAGTGTGACACACTAGCTGGGGTTCTGAATTGAGTTTACATCACTCCTACACTTAAGTTAAAGATTATAATTCAGTGAAAACAGTTGTAATATATAATTATATATTATATATTTTAAAGCTTTAACAGTACAAATTTGCCAATATTACTGAGCATCCCTAGTTTACAGCCCAGCTTTAAGTGTGCTGTACCTCTTAAAATATTGTTTAGAAAAATGAAACACTTATACATCACGTCAGTTACAATACAATACATTGCATTGAGTGTTTAGGCTACACAGTGTCATTCTCATATTACTCCTATAGTTTGACAATGATAAATTTTATCAGTGGAAGTAAACAGTGGGGATGCACGATAATATCAGCAAGTCATCAGTATCAACCGATATCAGCTTTAAAATGAACTATCAGAATCAGCCAACAGGCTTTTTTTTGCACAGTGAATGAATATTATACTGAAAAGTATTTTATTTCATGTCTCCATCTGCTGGTGGGCCATCACGATAGTAGGTAGGAGTAGGGTTAGGAGTATGCATGCATAATATGATGTTAATTCCACTACAGAACAGACTTGGTCATCATTAAGATTAGGTAGGGAAAAAAGTGGATATATTGGTATCAGTAAGTGTTATTGGTCGAATGAGTTGTTACATAGTGGCATCAGCAAAAAATCCAATATCGTGCATCCCTAGTGGACAGAATATTTTTGGAGAGTACAACACTTGACTTTTGGTTATTGAAACCATAGATATATATAATTGAAATTATGGCCTGACTGATACAGGATTTTTAAGGCCGATACCAATATTGATCGATATTTGAGAGTTTAATCATTTTCAGATAACCAAGACATGTACTGAGCAAGATATTTTACAGTCACTTTTCTCTTGAGGGCACTGATTTGAAACATATCTTTGGCATTTCTGTACTTCAGTCTGTTAACATTTATTGGCTGACTTATTTGCAGATACCTTTATTACTGCAATGAGCCCATATCAGCCAGTATGCGCCACTTGAAACATATAGTTATAAAGATTCCTTAAAGAATGGCATTGCAGCTAATTCCTTTGCTATAACGGGAAAATTGTGACAGAGGGAAAAATCATCATTGCAGACTTTTTAGCTGCACTTTAGACCAGTTCACGTGTTTGAATTAGTATTTAGACTCGTGTTCAAAGAACACCTTGGCGTTCATGAGGTTTAGAACAGTGATAAAAAAAATGAGGGTCTGACTAAATACGCCATAACCAATCTGAAGTGAGCATTAGTCCCAGAGACCTGCTTGAAAGTGAACAGTGAGAGTTGGGAGCCCGAACAGAGTGACTGTTAGCTTAGCCTCAGTATTCAAGCCCGGTGTGTTTCTTCCACACACTCACCCTAGTCTTCAGCTCGCGGTCGACCTTAAGAAGAGATGACATGGCGAGCAGTAAATGTCGAAAACTGCTGAAAAGTTGAACCTTTTTTGCTCGAATGTTGCACAGACTGCACGGACCACCACTACTGCGTCCACAAGTGCATGGTGTCATCAGAAAGCGACACGGACATCAGTTCGTTTGGGTTCGTCATCCTGAGCGAGACTTTGCCGTCACCACCATAGATATCAGCTGTGTCCCAATTCAGGCCCTGCGTTCCAAATCGCATACTTCTACTGTATACTTTTAGTATGTACTGCAGCTGCCCTTAAAAAAGTATGTAGTGTAGTATGCAGTGTGCATGCAGTATGCATACTATTGGGACACACTACATCTGCCATCACATCGCTCCCTGAACTCCAACCCTCTTGCTCACTTCCGCCGCCGTCCGTAGCGCCACATTTGAATATTTTATGTTGTTGTACTTCGGAGATGCAGCAAATCTCCTCTCGTCGAGCTCGCCAGAGTCGTGCATACTGTCGGAGGTGCCGGAGAGCTCTGTTGCTGTTATGTCGTCATGTATGTTGTTGTTTCTAATAAACAGTCCCAAGCCTATTATTAGTGACCTGTCTATTGAACTAGTCACCAGTAGGCATATTAACCCCCTTCACACACAGCTCTCTGTTGCTGGCAGATGTTTGTTGTTAAATATATTTACAGCTATGCAGCTGCTGGCACTATATTCTGTCTGCACGTGAGGCAGCCTTACATTCACATTACTTTAATTTGTAGTGTAACATACCTGCACATTCTTACTACATTACTTAATATGTGTTTGACTTTTACTATTCATATATTTACTGGTCTATACTGCTCATACCTGGCCCATAGTGTATTCATATTTAGTCATATTCATTCATTATTTATACCACACTTACACTACTGCCTGTACTGGTAGAATCTTCTATATTGTAGTCATAGTTGAACCCTTACATTGATTATACTATAATCACAGTAAAGTTGAATGTTGTAACCGTGTTCTTGCAAAACTGTATATGTGACAGTATATAATCAGATCATTGCAGTCCTAATATGTAGTGTCTTAGTATCTCAAATTAAATAAACCATGTATGAAAGGAAGTGTGGGCGTTGGTTGTACACGCAGCTCAGTCAGTGCGACGTAACTTCCGCTGCGCAAAGGATTGTGGGTCAGAATGGCCAAAGAAGCATGCTGACATGCATACTGCGAAATATGACTGGATGTAGTAGAATATCCTGGTACTTTTGGCATACTGCATCTGACATACTATGTATTGGGACACACTAATTCTTTTTCTGGCATACTAAATAGTATGGTAGTATGGGTATTGGAACGCAGGGAGGGTCTGCATCCTTCGAAGGACGCGGCCTACGCAGGTGCCTCCGAAGGAGTCGTCAACCGTTGTTAAATGGGACGGTCTAGCCTACGGAGGATTTCCTGGTTGCGTCCTCACGTCATGATTCCTGTTGCCCAAGCTCGGGAAAAACACAACAGACGACAGCGACAAACGGACATACGGCGATAAAATGGGGCTAGAATTTGTCATTTTGTTTATTTAATTTACTTTTTGATTGAGGAAGAGGAGAGGCGGCTCCGGCGACACCGGCCGCTCGTTTATCTCCAGCTGGGAGAGAGCCGTGGCGAGGTAAACCTGTTATTTTAACCCACATTAATGTTCATATAGCTAGCATAGTTCGTGGTAATTAATATACCCGTTAATAAACAATACCGTTAAGTGACAAACGCTAGCTATATGTGGTTAATGTCATTTAACCATTACACTTGATACAGGGTTCATACAGGTGCTTAAAATCTTTGAANTAGGAAGTACTAAGTTCAGCGGTATATGAATCTTGGACTACTTATGGAAAATAAGTTTTTTATTCCACATCAAAATTGGGTGAAATATCCTTAATCTTATCCTCTGTTAAGGATTTTGACACAGGATTACTCGAAAACTACACAGTAAAAATACTTCATATTATGCATGCATGTAGTCTAGGAAGTACTTAGTTCAGCGGTATATGAATCATAGACTACTTATGGAAAATAAGTTTTTTATTCTACGTCAAAGTTCGGCAAAATATCCTTGATCTTGTCATCTGTTAAGGATTTTGACACAGGATTACTCAAAAAGTACACAGTAAAAGTACTTCATATTATTCATGCACGTAGTCTAGGAAGTACTTAGTTCAGCGGTATATGAATCATGGACTACTTATGGAAAATAAGTGTTTTATTCTATGTCAAAGTTGGGCAAAATATCCTTCAACTTGTCCTCTGCAGTCTGACCCACAGTCAGTACCAGCAGCTCTTCAGAGCCGTTCCATTACGATTACCGTAAGTGTTCGTAGATTCGCGCACTAGAAAAAAACGTGCGGCTGATTTGACCAAGCAAAAGCGAACCACGGCAGCACGGCTTTCCTCAGGTATTAGTAAATTACATCCAAGTAACATTTTGATTTGGGCTGACCTGAGACAACTGGTTACCCTCGGCTTGCCTTGAAAGTACCCACACATATAATGTTTCTTGTTCTTCTACAAACATATTCAGTGCCACATTACAGTCTGTACAACACTGCACACTATGACAAAGCCTGTCATGTTTAAAAAGTGACGATCTAACTCGGAAAATGCTCTAAAAATACGCTTAATAATATGTAAATAAAAACCAAGCACTTATAGCCACGGGATCATTACAGAGATGAAGCAAGGACTTACATTTACTCACGTTACTGTAATTGAGTAGTTTTTTGTGTACTTGCACTTTTTAAAATCTAATTTGAGTGTTACATCAGTAGCTTATGTTTTAATTTAAGTATTATGCTTCGCTGCATTTTAAATGACTTCCGTGACCGAGAAAAAAAAAAAAAAGTCGGCCGAAATTTTAAAAAAGCAAACGGAATTGTATAAGCGTTAACTACCATGACACAATAATAATAGTATTACACTCTATGATAACCTGGCAGCTAGCTCTGATGGAGACATATAAGCTCTAAGAACAAACTCACAATTATGGACGCACACTAAAAGAAATGTCGCCATGGTCCGAGAGAGGTGACATCATGCTGTTATCTCTGTCTCTACAGGTACACAGTGAGTGAGTTAGATCGTCACTTTTTAAACATGACAGGCTTTGTCATAGTGTGTAGTGTTGTGCAGACTGTAATGTGGCACTGAATATGTTTGTAGACTCGTGGAAAAAGAACAAGAAACATTGATAAATATGTTTGGGTACTTTCAAGGCAAGCCGAGGGTAACCAGTTGTCTCAGGTCAGCCCAAATCAAAATGTTACCTGGATGATGCTGATGTAATTTACTAATACCTGAGGAAAGCTGTGCGCTCTGTGAGTCTCAGTGGCTTACACAGGTAGACGTGCGGTTTGTGTTATATTGTCTTTTGTTGACGTGAAATCGAGTCCAGCTTGACGCAAATTTGTGTATATCATATTTTCTTTCCTTTCTTTTTTTAATGTCGCTGGTACGTAGTGCTCACTTACAGAAGCATATTCGCTGTGGTAGATGTGGGCTGCGACTTTAAAATCGCCAGTAATATGTTGTGTAGGCCTAGCTATGTTTGTGAATTTGTGACAAATCTGCTGACGGAGGCGAAGCACATCTGCAGCTGTTCGGTAAGGAAACCAGTTAAATTGGAAACCAGTAGGGACATAACACCGGGGCCGTTGGTGCGTGTCTCCACCGCAGGAACCACCCCTGAAGGACAGAGTTCCGGAACTTTTACAGGGGCTAAACAAAGGCTGCGGTCGGAAAGTCCCTCCTATCGTCTATTCCTAATCACTATTCCTTGACCTCAGTGGGAAACGTCACGACCTGTCAGCCTGCCTCAATCAATTCAATTTTATTTATAAAGCCCAATATCACAAATCACAATTTGCCTCACAGGGCTTTACAGCATACAACATCCCTCTGTCCTTATGACCCTCACAGCGGATAAGGAAAAACTCCCCAAAAAAAACCCTTTAATGGGGAAAAAACGGTAGAAACCTCAGGAAGAGCAACTGAGGAGGGATCCCTCTTCCAGGACAGACAGACGTGCAATAGATGTCGTACAGAACATATCAACATAATAAATTAACAGTAATCCGTATGACACAATGAGACAGAGAGAGAGACAGAGAGAGAGACAGACAGAGAGACAGACAGAGAGAGATGCAGGACAGACGGTAATGACAGTAGCTTACAACAACATTAATGAAAGTAATAATAATAATTAATATTAATATTAATAATTACCTACAGCCTATTAAACATTATTCCACTCACATGACATGCAGGACAATTAATGATGGGCAAATGTGTTTGTCTATGTGTTTGTGTTTGTGTATGTGTGTGTGCGTGGTGTTATATCACTCGAGCAGCTGCACATTTAACAGCCACGCATCACAGTCCGCTGAACAACGCAACGGGTTATGAATGAAATAAACTTAATTACAACATGACAGTCTTGCACGAAATATCATTAACGTTACTCTTTGTAGTCACGTAGGCATGTGAATTACAGCGTTTCATTGCAAAGAATGCATGTAACGGGTACACTTGTGCTATTTCTCCGCCATCTCGTTCAAATGAGACAGACGTAGGGGGCTGATAGTTATACGTCATGGCGTTCAGCTGAAAAAGACTTCCTGTTAGGAACCTCTCGTGTTACCTTACTCATCGCACCTAACAGATCCCTCCTAACGCCTAACCCTAACTCCTTACTGGCAGGAATAAGAGACATGAGACGGCCTTAAAGATGGCGGATCTTGAACGACTTCTGGTTTAAGTAAGGAGTTAGGAGTTAGCAGTATAAAATAAGAGACTTGGGACGCACCCATTGACGTGGGTCTGCTGTGGTGAAACTACAATGTTCTGAAGATGGACTACAAAATGCACACGATGAGAACGTATGGGGCGTACGTTCTCATCATGTTGTTTCATGCAGGATATTTAAACGTGGACAACACGGTGAAAGATATTGTTTAATTACTAAGGTCGGAATTGAATTTAAAAAATGAATATAGGC